TTAGTTGTTTATTAGGTTTATTACTAAAATGTTAATATCAATTTACTGGCACAGTTGTTTATTAGGTTACTACTAAGTGCCAGTAAATTGATATTAAAATCAGTTTTTATTAGGTTACTACTAAGTGCCAGTATATTGATATTAACATTAGTTGTTTATTAGGTTATTACTAAGTGCCAGTAAATTGATATTAACATTAGTTGTTTATTAGGTTACTACTAAGTGCCAGTAAATTAACATTAAAATCAGTTGTTTATTTGGTTACTACTAAGTGCCAGTAAATTGATATTAAAATCAGTTGTTTATTAGGTTACTACTATAGTGCCAGTAAATTGATATTAACATAAGTGTTTATTAGGTCACTATTAGTGCCAGTAAATTGATATTAACATTAGTTGCTTATTAGGTCACTATAAGTGCCAGTAAATTGATATTAACATTAGTTGTTTATTAGGTTACTACTAAGTGCCAGTAAATTGATATTAAAATCAGTTGTTTATTAGGTTACTACTAAGTGCCAGTAAATTGATATTAAAATCAGTTGTTTATTAGGTTACTACTAAGTGCCAGTAAATTGATATTAAAATCAGTTGTTTATTAGGTTACTACTAAGTGCTAGTAAATTGATATTAAAATCAGTTGTTTATTAGGTTACTACTAAGTGCCAGTAAATTAACATTAAAATCAGTTCTTCTTGATCAATATTTACAATGTTCGTATTATTATTAAGTTGTTTGAATGTAAAAAATAAAAGGTTAATAAAAAAAGAAAGCAAATATGGCTTACTGTACTTCCAGCTAAAATCCATCCAAGGCCACAGAAGAAGATGGCTTCCAAGAGACCTGCCACGTAGAGAAGCGTCCAGCCCTCTTTCCAAATACAGGCAAAAGCAAAATACACAGTCACGGAACAATTGATGGCAACCATAGCAGAAAACAACAAGAACCATATCCTGAAATAGAAACAGGACTAGAGAGAAATCAGTGAAAATATTAAGCATGTCTCGGAAGAACGGTAAGAGTGAAGTCAGTGAAAACATGAAATGAAAAAAATATCCTGGAAAAGTAGCAGGATTAGAATAGAGTGAAACATGAAGCCACAACAGCAAGTTAACTAAGATTTGGGGAACTTGGTGGCTAACGTATTTGGAAAACTTCTCTGTATTCTTATGATTTTGTTACAAGTTTAAAGTTCAATAAAATGATTATATCAAAAGATAAGAACTAATAATATATATATTACTAAAATTGTATTATGATAAAGTGGTTTTGTGAACGAAAATTATAACTTTTTTTAATTATCTACACTATTTTTAGTAACTGTTTCCTTCTTTTCTAATATTTCATGTTACGTTAAAACTATTGCAATAGTTTTACTGCTGGAAATCTGAACTATATTAACCTCGCCAATATCATATCTTTTAACTCAACCTATAACAACGTCACTTCTCTTAACAACATCAATACCAAGTCATTCAACCCCACCAATAACGGCTTTATCAAAATAATGGATACCAGGTTTTCAATTCAACCAGCACCAGGTCTTTCAACTCAACCAATACTGATCTCCCAACCCCACCAATACCAGCTCTACCAACATAATAAATAACCGGTCCCCACTAATGTCAAAACTTTCAACCAGATTAATACCAGGTGTCGTGTCAAAGTTATGTAAAGTACATTTATCTTAGTAACCCAAGATGCTTTACCCTACCAACGTCACATGACTTCACCCTATCAACATCATGGCACTAGCAGCATCAAATGATTTTACCCTAACAACACTAAATCACTTTATCCTAACACACCAAATGACTTTACCCTAACAACATCAAGTGACTTCACCCTAACAACACCAAATCACTTTACCCTAACAAAATCAAGTGACTTTACCCTAACAACATCAAGTAACATTACCCTAACAACACCAAGTAACTTCACCCTAACAATACCAAATCACTTTACCCTAACAACACCAAATCATTTTACCCTAACAACATCAAGTGGTTTCCTCTTAACGCCAAGAGATTTCACCCTAACAACACCAAATCAGTTTACCATAACAACATCAAGCGGCTTTATCCCTATCAACATCAAGTCACTTCACACTATCAACATGAAGTCTCCTTACCTTAACATCACCAAATCAC